CTCTTCGGGGTCTAACCCATGTTTAACACGTCTCTTCCTTTTTTTTCTCTGTTTGTCTGTCTGTCTGTCTGTCTGTCTGTCTGTCTGTCTCTCTCTCTCTCTCTCTCTCTCTCTTTTCTCTCTCTCTATCTATCTCGCCCTTGCTCTCTCTCTCTCTCTCCCTCATTCTCTTTTTTCATCTTTTCTCTTTTCTTTTCACTCCCACTCCTTCTTCCTCTCTTTCCTCCTGTTTTTCTTCCTCCTTTTTGCTCCCTCACAGCATCTTCGAGATTCAATGATTGGTTCTCTATCTACAAATCCCCCCCCCCCCCCCCCCCTCAGACTGCTCCATCGTGGGTGTGTTGAGTGACAAAGTGCATTTAATTCAGAACTCGGTTGTTGATTAAGCCTAATGGACGTTCTTAAGACATATTATAAATCCCCTTATATAATTTCTCCTCAAGTACATATATATATATATATATATATATATATATATATATATATATATATATATATATACATACATATATATATATATATATATATATATATATATATATATATATATATATATATATATATATATATATATATATATATATATATATGTATATATATATACACACACACACACACACACACACATATATATATATATATATATATATATATATATATATATATATATATATATATATATATATATATATATATATATATATAACTGTGTATATTTTTTTCTTTTTCTCTACTGATAACCTGGTTTGTTTTCGTTAATGTTAAACGAATGATCTCAACTTATTTATCTATGTTTTTGTCAGATATAGTTTTGATCTGTGATATTTTGATATTTAGTCGATTGCCTTGTTTTAGCTATCTATCTATCCTTTATCTATCATACTTACTATTTCTCGGATTGTGTGATAAATGAATCAAAAGTCTCAGTTTTAAAATCAGATTTATCGTGATCAAGACAAGCACTTGCAGCTGCCTTATTTATTTATTTTTTGTTTCCTTATGAAATACAGGAAAATGATAGTATATTGTAAAGCCTTCAAGTGACCACTCCCTTGATTTAGTGAATATAAAGATAAAGTATTGATTTGCGGATATCCAATCTGGTGAACCGAATTCTTTGAATAAGACTGAGAATTTGCGTAAGAAATTTGCTTCAGAAATATACAGTAGTAAGTGAAATGTGGAGTGTAAGCCCGTAGAGTGTGTTGGTATCAGGTGTAACGATATAGGGAGATTGGATATCTTATCCTTTTTACACTCGTCAAATTTCTCGGAATTTCTGACATAACAGATTTGTTTACACTTATCTGCGCCGACCTAACGAATGGTCGACACACGATACATATCGCTGGTGAGAGACATTAAAGCCTTAAAGAATACGACCTTAACAATGGCTAAATACAGGAAAATCTACAAGATACATCATCTCTCTCCAATATCTATCTCTTCTTAATCTATTTCATTATTTCTTTCCTAATCCGACATGGTTCCATATTTATTTTTCATAATCCCTCTTTTTTGGTGTCTAAAGAATTTCATTATAACAACGTGCAGTGGATAGGGAAAGTAGATTTTATAATTGCCTCTACTAACCTTTAAAGAAAATAGTTTTAAGCTAATCTGATCTGTGTGAGTGAGACAGTCACGTAGTCAGAATGAGTGAATGTATAAGGTTAATACAATTCTGTAAGAAAACAAAAATAAATGGAAACTGTTGTATTATTTTTGTGTATGATTTTTATCCTCTTCTAATGTGTCTTTTTTATAATCAAGTAATTATATTCTGTTCTAGATATGCTTTCCTGGTCAGAGTGTTATCATCTATTTGTTAAGAATTGTGTGGCTTATTGTTATAAATAGGAAAGACACTCAAAATGCAAATACAGAAAACAATACCCGTGAAACATTGTGCTACAAACTATATATATATATATATATATATATATATATATATATATATATATATATATATATATATATATATATATATATATATATATATATACATATATATATATATATATATATATATATATATATATATATATATATATATATATATATATATATTGCAATAAACGAACAAATTAATTTAAACTTGCTGATAGCGAAATAAATTGCAATTCAATTACAATGCTTAAACAGAAAATGTGCATATTCAGAATTTATAATTTCCTTTCTCGTGAAATGTAAACAAAATACGCACATTAATTTCAATAATTACTATATATAACCATAAATAGCCCATTATCAAGAGAGACATACACATGCACATATCCACAGGGCACAGATAGTTGTATATACATACAAATACACAGACAGACAGACAGACAAATACACAAATGTACAGTCCACAGGGATTGCCAAGCTTACAGATGTGCCTACATACATACAGACATACACACAAACATCTAGTACACATGTATTGCCAAGCAGACAGATGTACGTACATACATACATACACACAATGAAAATATAAGTTAAAATGAAAGACAATGAATATTATTCCATATCCTTTATTCAGTAACAGATTCTTTGTTACATGGGTGAGACAAATTAACAGTTGTTTCAAGCATAAGAACGTTATATTAAAATAATATTACCAGGTGGAGTAAAAAGAAAAAAAAAATAAAGGCAAGCCATTCCTACGACGCAAAAAAAGACCAGCTCATGTCTATCCAGGAGAGTGAAAAGCACCGTCACCACATTTATTTTAGTTTCAGATAAAAAAAGAGAAGTGAAAGAAAACGTTGGCTTTGGTCTGCAGTGGGCAAGAGTTACGGAAGAGTGAGACCCATCACCCTATCTCTCATTATTTTTTATTTTGGAAAAGTTGAGAAGGAAAAATTAGAATTGCGAAACTAATTAAAACAAAATTCCCAATGAGTCAAACAAAGGCATATTGGCCTTAAAGCATCGCACCCAGGCGTAAAATCACAGTAATGTAGTCATAACAAGTGTGGAAATATGCCTTTGTTAAAGTCAGTTTGCTTGCATGTGCAAGAACCACGAGGAAATAAACACCGCTAAAGTTTTGGCTTGCCTTCATTATTTGGTTAGAGCGATTAATGTAATTTCATTTTTTTTTTAATTGATGAAATCAGCGTTGTTGTTAGACTACGTAAATTGATTACACAACTGCTTCTAAAGACTATACATGTCGAAATATCACATATATTTTTTCGGAAGACATTTTTCTTTATAACTCATATACAAAATAACTATTGAAGCATTCAGAGAGGAAATCGCGACTGTCGTTTTGGATCTCTGTCAGTTCCGTCGCGAGATATACGTTTATATTTTTCATCTATTAAAACCTGGCAAAAATACAGAGAGGACTAAAAAAAAAGGTCCAAGCGATGACGTCACACTCTCTAGATCACGCCCCTTGACGGACGAACCAATCAGAGAGCGGGATCTAGACAGCGTCACGACAAAGCCACGTGGCACCTTGCGAGACGTCTCTCAAAAAAAAAAAGATTGAATTTTATTTGACTTGAGATTACTATCATCTACGTGCACATATAACTTAACACATTTCATAACCATTTATAAAATTGCGGCCCTGCCAAGTAGATAGGGGGAGTTCAACCTTTGTGCGTCTGCTAAAATCTCTTATATATAAACAACCTCCGTCTACCTACTGTTAGCAGCACTGACTGCTCAAAAACCTCACCCTGACTCCCCGTAGCCGCCATGGCAGGCCTGTTTTTTATACACTTGTAATGCGATGAGCGATTCCGGTCCGTATGCGCCCGGGCAATAAGACCCATTTCCATCCATTGGCGGAAAGTCATGTCTTACTGACCGACTGCATAAGGCAGGGAATTGCTTATCATTTTACATTTGACACTTGAAGAGATTTGGACATAACAGCGACTTGTCCATGAGCACCTACGATTATTTGACATCATCATACATATAATTAATTAAAAAAGAAAGAGCTAATTGAAGCTAAGGTAAAAAAACAAAAACAAAAAATGGAATTCTTTGGAATGAGGAGTTGAGGAGCCGATATCATTATCATGCCTCTGAACTCTTGGTAAGACTGTGTCGGGTTTTATTTTCATCGTTTGAAGTTTAGTTAAGTCTCTCCTTTTACAGAAAAAATAATACGCTGGGAATTCAGGCCACTGCTATGCCATCTGCTGAAATGATGCCCAAAATAAAACGCCGCGTCAGCAAATGTAGCAGAGCGGGGCATATTTTCAGATAGAACGTTGTGAAATGACTTTGTACAAAAAAATATATAAGAACGAATACTTCACACATTTCTAAAAAGGAAAAAAATCTCATGATAATGAAGTCTCTCTAGTATCGTTTTTCTTCTTCCTCTTTTCACTTCCGTGCGCGTCTCGAGGTCGTCTCCGCCTCGAGGCCGACTCCTGTGGTTTCTGCGGAACTTAGGACAAGGTGTTGGACGTGGAGGAGCACGGCGCTCGGGCGGAGGTCCCTCTCGACGCGACGCCTCTCGCTCCAATATAGATACAAATATATATAAAGTCACATCTTTTCACCTAAACGTCACACATTCACAATGTCATAAGAAAAGTCACAATTATAATATTCTATTTCTATTCGTTTGCTTCGAAATTCTCGTCGTTCACTGAACATTTTTTTCCGGCAGGAAATGTATTGCTCGAACTCTCTCGATTGGGTTCACTGTCGCATCACATGCGATTCATTGGTCCATGATGGAGACGAGTTTCGTTTCTTTCACTTAGGAATCACAGTACAGGGTCTTGACGGTGCCGTCGAGCTCACGAGAAGTAGTCCGGCGAGGGCTCGGCCAGGGGCTCCGGCGTGGTGAACAGCGGGTTCGGGAACTCCGGCGGGTGCGGCAGCGGGCCCGCGTGCTTGGGCTTGCGTCGGTACGCCATGAGCCAGCAAGACACCGCCACGGCCACCGCCACCAGCGCCAGGAGCGCCGTGATGATAAGGGCGATGATGAAGCCCCACTTGCTCACGCACACCTCATCCACGCCCACGGCCTCGGGATCTGCGGGGGGGGGGGGGGCGAAGGTCAGTAAGATGATCAGGAATATGGGTGACGAATGTTACAAAACGAGCACAAGGATCGGTAAAAAGGGAGAAAGAAAGGAGAGAGACAGAGACAGAGACAGAGTTAGAGAGTTAGAGAGAGAGAGAGAGAGAGAGAAAGAGAGAGAGAGAGAGAGAGAGAGAGAGAGAGAGAGAGAGAGAGAGAGAGAGAGAGAGAGAGAGAGAGAGAGAGAGAGAGAGAGAGTCAGATAGACAGAAAGGGAGATGGAAAGAAAGAAAAACAGAGATCGAGGCACCCATGACTGCCTGGCGATACTCACTCTCGGGCGCGGTGAGCCTGTCGGCGCGGCTCTCGATGGTGATGATGGCCGGCGAGAAGACGGTGATCTCCCTGAGCTGGCCCTCGTACGTGGCCTCGTTGGAGTAGATCACCTCGGCGTCCTCCTCGAGCGCCTGGCGACGGCGACGCTTGCCGAAGGCGTCGTAGCCGTTGCAGTTGACCGGGTGGCAGCGGCCGAAGCACACGCGCACGTTGCACTGGAAGCGGATGGAGTTGGACGACGGGAACTTGAAGGCGTTGAAGAGCGCCACCAGCGTCTTCTCGTCGCCGTCCTCCTGCTCCCACTCGCCGAAGATGTTCGGGTCCGTCGCGCAGCCGTTCTCGTCCGTCACGATGTACTCGTTGTCGCCGCCGTCGCTGTTCGCCGTCAGCGCCACGCAGCTTCGGGCGAAGCCGCCGTAGATGTCTACAGGGAAGCGACGGGGAAAAAAACATTAGCTGCCGCTCGGGATAACCCAGTGCTTATTCCAATCAGAACTTGCAGAATACGAAAACGAGATCTGGATATGAACCAAATCCTCCCGCTTAAATAACACCAAACACCCTAAGCCTCGCCAGCGCCGCCAACACTTACTCGACGGTTCGACCTGCACGCGCAGCATCAGTAGGTCTCCGATCTCGGCGCCGCGGATATCGTCGCCGTTCTTGTCGGTGATCTTCATGACGCAGGTCGGCGGAGGGCCTGTGTTGGCGATGGTTCCGGCGGTGGTCAGCATGGACACGTCGAAGCCGAGGGTGATGGTCTTCTCGCCGGTGTTGTACGTGCACTTGACGTGGTACGCCTGCGCCTTGTACGTCACCAGCTTAGGATGTTTCTGGAGCACCAGGATGAACCGGGCCAGTCCCTGTAGAGACGCGAACAAGGAGAGAGTTGGTCAATCCATAAAGATCCTTGATATAAAAAAAACACCTGAATACTTTATTCGAATACTTCAAATAATTCATCACACAACACTTAAGGTAGCATTCGTATTATATGAACCTCACTTCGGCATTCTTCCTTCTCCACCAAAAAGCATCAAAAACACCTAAATCGCCCACTTACGTTCTCGTGGATGAGTCCGCACGTGTTGAACTTGACCTTGAAGTCGATCGTGCCGACGTCGACGTCCGGCTTGACGACGCGACGACACTCCTCGTTCTTGGAGTAACCCTTGACGTACATGACACCGTTGAAGCCCGGGTCGCCCACGTTGATGTCCACCTGCACTCCGTCGGCCAGGCAGTTGACCAGCATGTCAGGGCGCGGGAAGTCAGTGCGCGCGAAGGTCGGCTCTGTGCGGGCAGCGGGGGGGGGGGGGTCAGGTTTTATAAGAATAGACAGTATATGCATACGTGCACATACATACATACGCACACACACAGACACACACACATCTATTATAAATATCTTGGCTTGCGCACACATTGTTACTGACTTGAACCTTGCATCATACTGCTGATAATAATGGCCACCAATTCAGTACTCACAAACACACCGGAGACACAGACATACGAAAGTACGAACGGCCAAATAATGAAGCTCCTCCCCCCCCCCAAAAAAAAAAATAATAAAAAAAAAAATAAATAAATAAAATAAAGAAGGAAAAAATCGAATAAAAGAGCGACTTACTGCAGCCATCGTCCTTCTGGTAGGGGTCGCCGGAGTAGTCTGAGATGCAGGTGCAGACGGCCTTGTGGTTCACGACGATGCAGGTGGCGTACTTGGCGCACGGGTCGTAGGCGCACGGCGACACGCACGCGCGCTGCTCGCAGGCCCTGTCCGTCGGGCAGTCAGAGTCGCTGGTGCAGCCGGGGGTGAGCGGCGGCTCCGTCCTCACTGCGGGGGGGAAGGGCAGGTAAGCGTCAGGTATTGTGCTTGGATATTTAGTTCAGCATAGTGAATTACGTGCGTACGTAAAAAATAAGTAAAAATAAAACGTATATGTAAAGAGCGGCAAAATAAAAATATCGAGTCACAGCAGATGAGTAAGTAAGCCTTGCGGACTCCACGCACCAACGCAGTCGCCGTCTTCGTCCTTCTCGGCGGGTAGAGGGCAGTCGCAAGTGCCGGCGCGGGTGAGCACGTAGCCCTTCTCGGGGTCGCAGATGCACAAGCCGTTCTCGGTGAGCACGAAGCCCAGCTCGACGGGGCAGCGGGCGCAGTTGCCGTTCTCGTCGACGTAGAAGCCTCGCTCCGCCGGGCAGATGCAGCGGTCGTCGTCCAGGATGAAGCCCTTTTCGAACGGACACACGGGCGCTGCGGCAAGAAGAGGCTTCAGTATGGCGGTCCGGCGAGAAGCGCTTTTTCGTTTCATTTCTTTTTTTTTCAGCGATTATTGTTTTGTTTATATTTCATGACTTTCCGTATACCAATTATGTACATATATATTTCATGATGACATTTCAAAGAATGATAAAATCAAATTGATCAACAAAGTGAATCAAATGGTGGAAAAAAACATGAAGCCGTAAGACAAACATAGAAAAACCAGCTGCATAAATCACACAAAAATATATACAAAGTACTAAACAATACTTGTGATGAATTTCCCCTTATTTTGAAATAAAAATACAAAGATACTAGTAAAATAAATCTAAAATAACCACCACCATCTCCCACATGCAAACATTCATTCATTAACGAAAAAAATACAAATCTGGAATGTAAAAAACAAGTCATTTGTTAGTAATACAACAAAAAATATACATTCACAAATAAAAAAATAAAAGAAGCCAAAAGAAGCAAGACAAATATTTAAAAAAAGCGACGCATTACAAAAATAAGCTCATGAGGCAGGCGTCATATGAGTTCGTTCAGTCTCTCTTGATTTCATTCAGTCAAAAAAACAAACAAACATATATTTCATGTCATCAAAACTATACAATACTGAACTTCCTAAGAACAGTCTTAAAAAAAAAAGAATATTACGTAAAAAAAAAAATACACAAATATATAAGTCATTAAAGAATGTTAATATGGTCATGAACAGTTAATTTGAAATCTACATGCATGATAAAATGTCGAATTAATAATTTTTAATGATTAAGCATCAATACGTCAAATGATGAAATGATGAGCACAGGCATCAGGTAGCATATTAAAGGCAGTTTGAGATATGCATTCTTTATGGTAATATTTTACATTTAAATATCATGGCTGTTATGCAATTACTTTGGATATTTAATGTAAATGAGATCAATAAATTTATAAAGATCTTATATACATTTTTTTCTATTAAATGTTCTCATCTTACATTAATCTCTTTTAATGTTTCAATTCATATGCATTTTTTTCTCAAACTACCTTTTGTTAAAAAAAGCGCGTGCTTACTGCTGAAAGAAAACGGTGGATATACACAAATTGTCAACACTATGCAATTGCACAGAATACAAAAAACAACAACAAACAAATGCAATAATATCAGACAAATGAACAAAGCAAACATTTCAGGCAAATGTGCTCAAATATCAGTAAAAGCAATGAGGAAATGCAATGCAATTTGGATATCAATGATGAAAATGCAAATGACACATGATGCAATAAGCAATACTTAGTAGAGCCATGCTTCGGAAACAAATGAAGGCGAGGGAGCTATACGCATATACACTATATGTGTATGCGTGTATGTATGTGTGTGCGTGTGTGTATGTGTGTGTGTATGTGTGTGTGTGTGTGTGTGTGTGTGTGTGTGTGTGTGTGTGTGTGTGTATGCGCGTGTGTGTGCGTGTCTATGTGTGTGTGTGTGTGTATGTGTATGTGCGTATGTACCATAACTACACACACACACACACACACACACACACACACACACATACACATACACACACACACACACACACATACACATACACACACACACACACACACATACACATACACACACACACGCACGCACGCACACACACACACATACATTGTCTATAAAGCTCACTTCATTTTTATCATAAAAAATACATGATGTGCAGGTAAAAAACCCATTTTTTATATATTTGTTGTAATTGTTAAATCACGTGTTACATGCGAATATCGCTCGTCTCCTTTGTTTCCGCTAACTCAAAATTAGTACTGTATATCCTGCCTTAAAATCTTGAATCTTTTTCCCCGATCAATAATAATTAATAAAATGATTATTAGTAAAATGGTTAACAATTCCCCACTCAACCTGTCTAGCGGTTAAGGTTAATGAATCATTATTTTTTTCCTTCTCTCCTTGTTGTTAGTGTCCCTCCATCTCCTCTCCCTTCCCTCCTAGATTCCCTCCATCTGCTTCTCCCTCCCCCCTCCATCTCCCTTCCCTTCCCTCCCCTCCGAACCCACACACAATGATGGCCTACTTGGAATGCACTTATCGAGCGCGTCTCCCTGATAACCAGGCAGGCACTCGCACGCCACGGTCCGGATGGGCACGGTGTCGATCACTCGGCACTCGGCGTTCTCTCCGCAGGGCTCCAGGCCGCAGACGTCGATGCACTCAGCGTTGATGCAGGCCGTCTTGCTGGGGCAGTCGCCGTCGGTGCGGCAGCCCAGGACGACTGCGCGGGAGAGGAAGGAAAGAGGTGAGTGGGGAAGGTCGCCGTCGGGCGGACGCCTGCGCTGGCTAGGTCTTCAGGGATAGTTTGGTGGAGGGGTCGGGTTGTGGAGGTGGTCTTATTGGCTGTGATTTCACGTTCACGCTTATTTGCCATATTTCATTAAATAGTTTAAGATTATGTTGATAATTAGCAATACGCATTGTTTTAAAGAAAGAAAGATGAGATGGAACTAAATGCAAATGCTGCATGAACTCCCGAGAGGTAACTTACTCTTTTCACAGCCATTGTCTCTGGTGCCGTTGAACCCTGGCGGGCACGGGCAGTCGGGTCGGTGGTTGGCCACGCGACAGGTGGCCGGCTCCTCGCACGGGTCGAGACTGCAGGGGCTCACGCAGCGCTGGTTGATGCAGCTGCGATCTCCGGGGCAGGCGTCGTTCGATGCGCAGCCGATGGCTATGCACTGAGTACGCGGGTTGCCGCGGGAGCCCGGGGGACAGTAGCACACGGCCTCGTGGCTCACTCCCTGGCACACGGCTTCCTCGCCGCACGGCTCATTGTCGGGACCGCACACGGGGGCGCATTGCCCGTTGCGGCAGGCGTGCGTCGTGGGGCAGTCGTCGTTGCCGTAGCAGCTGATTTCGTCGCAGCGGATCTCCGGGTCTCCCTCGTACCCGCGCTTGCACGAGCACACGGGGTGGTGCTCGACGATCTCACAGACGGCGTTGGGGCCGCACATGCAGGGGTCTTTGCAGAAGCCGTTGAAGCACGCCTTGTCAGAGGGGCATTCTGGGTCTGCTGCGCAGCTAGGCTTGATAGGCGGCAACAGGTCGCACGTGCCACCCTGCTCGATGATCATGCCGTCGGGACACACGCAAAGCATCGTCCTGACCGGCAGCGTGTCGACCACTTGGCAGATGGCGGTGTCGTCGCATGGGTCCAGCACCACGCACGGGTTGACACAGCGTTCGTCGATGCAGGCGAGCTGGCTCTCGCAGTCGCCGTCGACGCGGCACTCGGGTTCCACGAGGGGGCTGCACTGGATCTTGGGGTTGCCTGTGGTGCCGGACGGGCAGCGGCAGCGAGCTTCGTGCTCGTGGTTGACGCATTCAGCAGAGGGAGAGCAGGGATCTTCGTACAAACAGGGGTCGACGCATTGGCTGTTGATGCAGCCGCGGTCGCGCGGGCAGTTGGAGTTAGCCCTGCAGCCGATGACCAGACACTCAGTGTAGCCATCGCCCTGAAAGCCTGACGGGCAGCGACACTGTGCTCTGTGCTGTGCAGCGTAGCACTCGGCATTTCTGGAACAAGGATCGTCGACCAAACATGGGTTGGCGCACACGCCGTCGTAGCAGGCTTGGTCATCCTCACAGTCAGCGTCTTGCTGGCAGCCGACTGGGAAGCAACCGATGTCGGGGTTGCCCTGGAAGCCAACTTGGCAGGTGCACACGGGCCGGTGATTGATGATCTCGCAGATCGCGTTGCGGCCGCAGTCGCACGGGCTGCGGCACATGCGGTTGATGCAGGCTTCCTCGACAGGACACTCTGAGTCGGCGCGGCAGCCTGGGATGACTTCCTTCTCGACAAGCTTGCATGTGCCTTCATCTGTCATGACGAAGCCTTCGGGACAGATGCAGATCATGGTGCGAACGGGCACGGAATCCACGACTTCGCACAGGGCGGTGTCATCGCATGGATTGAGGACATGGCATGGGTTGATGCAGTGCTCGTCAATGCACGCGCGCTGGCTCGGGCAGTCAGCATCCACACGACACTCGGGCTTGGGCTCATCCACCTGGATGGATTTGTCCTCACACATGAATCGTGGGTCGCCGTAGGGCTTGTCCTTCGGGCAGCGGCAGCCTGCGGTGTGTTGGAAGACGTAGCACTCTGCGTTGGGGGCACAGTTGTTGCTGTAGAGGCATGGGTTCACGCACTGTCGGTTGATGCATGCCTTATCAGTGGGGCATTCGGAGTTGCTGCGGCAGCCCCGCACTTCGCAGCGGATGTATGGGTCGCCTTCAAGCCCACTTGGACAGCGACACTTGGCAGTGTGCTGCTCAGGGTAGCACTCGGCGGTGATGTCGCACGGGTCGTTCACCAGACATGGGTTGACGCATACGCCGTTGGAGCACATATTATCCAGCGGACACTCCTCGTTCACACTGCATCCCACTGCAATTATACATGATTTTATAAATGGCGAAATTATTTAACAGTAAATCAATATAAAATGCCTGACTTAAGTGTGGCAAAACAGACAACTTTCCACGGTAATTTCAGGGGACCTACCCTTGAAGCATCCGGTGTTAGGGTTGCCCTGGAATCCAGGCAGACAGGTGCAAATGGGGCGATGGTTCTTGACGTGGCATTCGGCGTTGGCCCCGCAGTCGCAGGGGGTCACGCACTGGGTGTTGAGGCAGGCGTTGTCACTTGGGCATTCGTTGTCAGCACGGCAACCGACGCCTATTGGGAGGTCCACTGTCGGTGGGAAAGCGAGAGATCAGCATGGGAAAAGCGAGACTCATAAAGCTCGAGATGTTATCGAAGTTAGGAACTCTTTGTTACTGGCCAGATGTTAAAATGTATAACTTGTTTGTTATTAGGACTACTAATAAGCCACAACGACTGGTTAATGCCGCTAGGACAAATTCGCTCGTAAAAACGTCAGATACGTCAGCTCAACACTGAATTAATAAATCACGCTGATATGAAGAGAAAAAAAAAAACCTGTGGAAATCACAAAAAGAAATGATAAAGGCATGCATGAAAATATGATATGTACTATAAATAATAAATGGGTTAAATATGCTTACAGTCAACACACTGGCCCTGATCTGACACAACCATGTGTTCGGGGCAAGTGCAGGTCATGGTCCTGAGAGGCCTCGTGTCGACCAGGGTGCACACCGTCAGGTCCTTGCATGGAGCCAGCTCTTCGCAAGGCTTCTTACACTCGCCCTCCATGCAAGCATAACCTGACTGGCAGTCGTAATCCGAGCGGCAGTCCCGTCGCTGCTTCTCGCTGCAAGCAAGCGACGGTATTCCCTCCTGGCCCGGCAGGCAGCGGCACTCGATGCCGTGGTTGACACCCCTGCACTGTGCGTTGGGGGCGCACGTGTTGTTGTGCACGCAGGGGTCGCGGCAGCGCCCGTTCAAGCACATGCGGTCAGCGGGGCAGTCGCCGTTGGCCCTGCACCCGATCACCACGCACTGGGTCAGGGGGTCGCCGCGGGTGCCGGACGGGCAGAAGCACTTTGCCTCGTGGGCGATGGGCTGGCACTCGGCCCTGGGCGCGCAGGGGTTGTCAACGAGACACGGGTTCACGCAATTGCCTTGGTAGCACTTGCGGTCGTCGGAGCACTCGGCGTCGCTCGTGCAGCCAGCTAGGGAACGGGAACGGCTTATTGTGTGGAACGTGTGGGTGGTTGGGTTTGAAGGTTTGTAGATATTATTATTATTACTGTTATTATTATTACCATTACTGTTACTGGTTATTAGAAAAATAACAACACTAGCATATCATTACACCTGAGTTAATACTGATGTGTAAATTAATACTGAATGTAAGTATATGTAACCAGTACAAATGTAAGTGTGATTAGACATCCATGATCACTTTCTGTATCTTTTTCGTTAATGTAAAAAAAGAGAAAAATCCTGTGATTAGAACACACTTTTTCAAGTTAAAAATCATACTATGTAAATCAGATTCTAAAGCTAGCTCTAGTAACAAATATAAGTAAAGGTTAGACGCTTACTGGCAACACAAGCAGTGTGGGGGTTACCCTCATAGCCCTGACTACAGGTACAGATAGGTCTGTGGTTGACAACAGTACAGAGGGCATTGACCCCGCAGTCACAGGGGTCACGGCATGACCCTTCAATGCATGCCAATTCCTCTCCACAGTCGCTGTCTCGCACACAACCATCCTCATCCTCTGGAACTAAACGGAGGTCGAGTTGAGTCACGGGACAAAATCAATGGCTTTTGCTAAGTCAACTCTTGTTGTCCAGGTCTCGCGGAGGTAATCCTTCTAAAGAATATATATATATATATATATATATATATATATATATATATATATATATATATATATATATATATATATATATGTGTGTGTGTGTGTGTGTGCGTATGTGTGTGTGTGTGTGTGTGTGTGTGTGTGTGTGTGTGTGTGTGTGTGTGTGTGTGTGTGTGTGTGTGTGTGTGTGTGTGTGTGTGTGTGCACATACGCATTTATGTCTATATCTATCTATCTCTCTCTCTTTATAATACCTACCTACATACACACACACACACACACACACACACACACACACACACACACACACACACACACACACATACATACATCTACATATATATATACATATATATATATATATAATATATACATATATATATATATATATATATATATATATATATATATATATATATATATATATATATATATATAAAGAAATATACATACACACACACACACACACACACACAAGCACACACACACACATGTACATATATAATTCTCGAAAGATTACCCCCGACCGATTACCAAAACGTTTTGTCTCTGTGAGATATTTTCTTTCAGCATGTTATTCTAGTTGGTTCGCAGACGTGTGATGGATCGGCCTTTTAGTCATTTCTGAATTGTTATCAATATTTTATTTCATGTCTTTTGAACTGCCATTCTTATGGAACATAATTAATAACGATCATAATTCTATACTTAGGGAAGTATCACTGTATATACTGCAAATTAACGAATGAAGAATAGATATTTGAATCCCATATCAGTTGACTTTGCAGGCAGATCTCATCACCTGTCTACAAATGGGAAATGTTAAATGGTTATTCTTACTGCGCCTGCATTGCGTGTGGGCGTCGCCCTTGTAGCCAGGCAAGCACTCGCACACCATGGTCCTGAAGGGCAGAGACTCCACCACGCGGCACTGTGCATGTTCCCCGCAGGTCTGGGTGGCACACAGGTCCTGGCACCGATCATTGATGCAGGCCATTCCCTTTATGCAATCTACGTCCGCCTTGCAGGCTGGCTCTATCGGGCCCTCGTCTGTTTGGCATCTGAACGTCGGGTCGCCCTTGGAGCCCGGGGGACACACGCACACGCCGCGGTGGTTCTCTGGCCTGCAGGTGGCGTCCGAGGCACAGCTGGTGTACAGGCAAGCCTCTATGCAATATCCATTCTTGCAAGTTCTGTCGTCTGGGCACTCGTGGTCGGCGCGGCACTTCAGGTTCTCGCACTTTACATACGGGTCGCCCTCCAGGCCGGCTGGGCAGCGGCACTGTGCCTCGTGGCGAGTTGCAAAGCACTCGGCACTAATTGCACACGGGTTCCTGACGTAGCACGGGTTAACGCACTCTCCGTTATAGCACTTGTCTGTCGCTGGGCATTCCGAGTCTGTTCGGCAACCCGCTGGAGTAGGGTGAAGCGCCAGGGGTTAGTTGTGGGCTCACCACGGACATTTTTGTTGTCAATAACTACATACTAAGGGTTGATCAGATATTAATGAATAATGTAGGTTAAACCACTGGGCTAAAGTAAGTTTTGTAAGTACAATCAAATAATGTCAATAAAATGTTAAATAAAAGACCAAGATTATGAAAACATATTAGTATACAATTCGTCAATTTTCCACAGCTGTATGTAAATGTAATTGAATGTAATTGTGTTGGTGTCTTACGGTCGTAGCACGCAGTGTAAGGGTCTCCGCGGTACCCAGGTGCGCAAGAACACACTGGGTGGTGGTTGGTCACTCGGCAGAGGGCGCCCTCCCCGCACGCACACGGGTCGAGGCACTGGCCCTCCAGGCAGGCCAGGGCGTCCGGGCACTCGCTGTCACGTGAGCAGGGTGCCTCGGGTGGGGGGGTTACTAGGAGGGCAAAAAGGGGTTAGTATCTCTTTGGGTTACGGGGAGAATCTGTTATATCATTATCTTAGTTTAGATATATACCTGTGAAAAGGGTAAGTGATTAAACTTAATAATAAATGATAAGGTATTATTAATTTCGGTATTAGATGATTTTAAAGAGATAGGTCTAGAAGAATCTGAGATGCAAGTGCAATATTCAGGCAACATTCGAGTTGAGTGAGTTGCATTTCTCATACTTTTGCGACACTGGACTTCCGCGTCGCCTGTGAACCCTGCCGGGCACGTGCAGGTCACGGACTTGATGGGTCTTGTTTCTTGCACAGTACACATTGCATTGGCTGCACACGGCCTTTCCTGCTTGCAAGGGTCGGCACACCCTCCACGCACACACACCAATCCCACACCACAGTCATGATCCACCACGCATGCCCAGCTTTGCGGGCGGCACGCCACCTCTGGGTCGCCCGAGTATCCTTCCAAGCACTGACACGCGCGCTTGTGGGCCGTCACTGAGCACACGGCGCCCACGCCACACGCGTCTCTCTCGCACGGGTTTATGCACTGGTCGTCCTCGCACGCTAGGTTGTGAGGACACTCCGAGTCGCCTCCGCAGGCAATCGCCAAACACTGGATCTTGGCGTCGCCTCGTTCTCCCGGCGAGCACGAGCACTGCGGTTTGTGTCCAAGTACTCGGCACAGGGCGGAGGGGGCGCACGGGGCCTCCTCGCGCGCGCAGGGATCCACGCACTCGTGATCCTCGCAGGCCTTGTCGCTTGGACAGTCAACGTCACTATTGCATTCGGCTGTTGAAGAAAGCAAATACGAAGGTTAATTATCTATGCAGGTGTTCCAGTTTTGTATTTTTTGAGCATATACAAGACTTAATAGTTTCTAACAACGCCTTTATCCTTTTTAATTTTCATATTCATTGACAAATGTGTCCACGTGTAAAACATCTTGATAAATTAACTTACTTCTGTAGCAAGCAACGTTGGGATCGCCAGCGTGACCGAACGGACAGCTGCAATATGGGCGATGCTGCGACACGTGGCACTGGGCGTTGAGACCACAGTTGCAAGGGTCTCGACAAAGCCCTTCTATGCAGGCCTCGCTGAAGAGACAGTCTGTATCTCGGACACATCCTCCTTGAGATGGAACTGTAGAAAAAATATAAGAATAATGTAAGCAAATAAAATAAAAATAATGTAAGCAAATACATTATCAAAATATCCCCGTTGTATTAGCATCAACGTGAAACAGTAAGTGACCTCAAATACTCACTTTCTCGGCATTCAATCTTGGCGTCGCCGTGGAAGCCGGGCGGGCAGGCACAGCTCATGGAGCGCCGAGGCTTGGAGTCAATGACCGAGCAGACGGCGTTGGGGCCGCACGGCTTGTGTTCCTCGCAGAGGTCCCTGCAGGTCGCGCCGGAATCCTTATCGTCGAAACGGACGTACACAGCGGAAATCTTACTGTGATAGCGTGTCACGAGCGAGCTGAGGATGCAGCCGTGCGTGTCGGGGCAGTCCTTGTCCACAACACACCCCAGAGGATCTTTCGGGGCCACGCAGCTGAACCTCGGGTCGCCCTGAAGCCCTGACGGGCACGTGCAAGCGTATTTGTGGTTGGCGACTCTGCACGTGGCGCCGACGGCACATGGGTTATAGTAGGAGCAGGGGTCCTTGCACTCGCCGTTGACACAAGCCTCGAAGCTCTTACAGTCCAGGTCTGCCGTGCATTCCACCAGCTGGCAAGACACCTGTGGGTTCCCTGAGGTACCTGGGGGGCACTGGCACTGAGCACGGTGATTGGCAGTGATACATTTGGCACTTGGTGGGCAGGGGTTGTCCTTACGACACGGATCGACGCAAACGTTCTGTCTGCAGATTTCTGAGTCTTGGCAGTTATCGTCAGTTTCACAATCAACTGAAAAAGAAGATACACTTTGTTAAAACTCGTCCTTTCACATATTTCTGTCAATCAACAATATATATAGTCACATGTGCATCTGCACATATAAACACACATATATGCGCGTATATACAAGCCTGCTGTTAAATATGAAATAAACAATATCTACTCTTGGATATTTACTCTTATAACATCCTTCCTCTGGAATACCGGCATAGCCTGGCTGACAGTGGCACACAGGACGATGGTTGAGGACGGAGCACGTGGCATTGGTGCCACATCCGGCGGGACAGGGATTTCGGCATTTCCCTGCCTCGCAAGAGAATCGCAAGGGACACTCGAGATCAGAGCTGCAGTCTTCCTCAGTTACTGCAAAAAAGAATATCACGTTAATCAATTAAATGATTGGTGCAAGTTGTTGCATTTCGAATATCTATAGAGCTCACAAGAAATAGTATTTTCAGGTGTTGAACTTAACTCACCTGCAGTACAAGCATAGTAGGGATCGCCCTCGTAGCCGTCGGGGCAAGAGCAGGACATTGCTCTGAAAGGTCTGTTGTCAATGACCTTGCACACGGCGCTGGTGCCACAAGGTGAATCACCTCGCAAAGGTCTTGGCACTTTTCATCAATGCAACCTTGCAAAGAAGGGCAGTCCTTGTCCACAACACACCCCAGAGGATCTTTCGGGGCCACGCAGCTGAACCTCGGGTCGCCCTGAAGCCCTGACGGGCACGTGCAAGCGTATTTGTGGTTGGCGACTCTGCACGTGGCGCCGACGGCACATGGGTTATAGTAGGAGCAGGGGTCCTTGCACTCGCCGTTGACACAAGCCTCGAAGCTCTTACAGTCCAGGTCTGCCGTGCATTCCACCAGCTGGCAAGACACCTGTGGGTTCCCTGAGGTACCTGGGGGGCACTGGCACTGAGCACGGTGATTGGCAGTGATACATTTGGCACTTGGTGGGCAGGGGTTGTCCTTACGACACGGATCGACGCAAACGTTCTGTCTGCAGATTTCTGAGTCTTGGCAGTTATCGTCAGTTTCACAATCAACTGAAAAAGAAGATACACTTTGTTAAAACTCGTCCTTTCACATATTTCTGTCAATCAACAATATATATAGTCACATGTGCATCTGCACATATAAACACACATATATGCGCGTATATACAAGCCTGCTGTTAAATATGAAATAAACAATATCTACTCTTGGATATTTACTCTTATAACATCCTTCCTCTGGAATACCGGCATAGCCTGGCTGACAGTGGCACACAGGACGATGGTTGAGGACGGAGCACGTGGCATTGGTGCCACATCCGGCGGGACAGGGATTTCGGCATTTCCCTGCCTCGCAAGAGAATCGCAAGGGACACTCGAGATCAGAGCTGCAGTCTTCCTCAGTTACTGCAAAAAAGAATATCACGTTAATCAATTAAATGATTGGTGCAAGTTGTTGCATTTCGAATATCTATAGAGCTCACAAGAAATAGTATTTTCAGGTGTTGAACTTAACTCACCTGCAGTACAAGCATAGTAGGGATCGCCCTCGTAGCCGTCGGGGCAAGAGCAGGACATTGCTCTGAAAGGTCTGTTGTCAATGACCTTGCACACGGCGCTGGTGCCACAAGGGTGAATCACCTCGCAAAGGTCTTGGCACTTTTCATCAATGCAACCTTGCAAAGAAGGGCAGTCCTTGTCACTGCGACATCCTGCAGTGGGCGGTGGGGAACAGAATCGGTCAGGGTTCCCACTGTACCCTTCGAGGCACTTGCATGTTGCTCGGTGATTCTGTACAACGCATTCAGAATTGGCTACACACTGCTGGAGGTCACACGGGTCCATGCACTCTCCCTCGCGGCACTCTTGGCTGACGGGGCACTGGGAGTTCTTCTGGCAGCCTGAAGGTTGGCACCTGATATAGGCATCGCCCTCGAAGCCTTCAGGACACGTGCATACTGGGCCTTGCTTGGTGGTTTGGCATTTGGCGTTCGGGCCACAGGGGTTCCTCTCCTTGCATGGGTCCACGCATCGTCCATTGACACATGCTTCTTCCACCGGGCAATCTGACCTTTGTGTACAGCCAACTGTGGGAAAGATGAATCATTATAAATAAAGGTGTTGTTTCTTTTGTTTTAACACACAAAATGTAGTAACATAGATTTCAAACCCTATTTCAGACTAAATTGTACACTTAAACTTACTTGTCGTGCAGAGGACGTTGGGATCTCCCTGGGAGCCAGCAGCACAGGAGCAGACCCCACGGTGTCCAAGGGCACGGCAGATGGCCCCTGGAGCACAGCGAGTGGTCTGGCAAGGGTCTACACAGCGGCCGTCTTCACAGGTCTCGGCCCATGGACAGTCGTACTCTGTGGTGCAGCCTGGACTTGGGGCTGGCACGGTGACGCATTCTCTGAAGGGGTCTCCAGTCAGGCCCGGCCCGCACTGGCACAAGACACTGGCCAGAGGGCGGCCGTTTTGTACAGTACAGGTTGCCTTTAGCCCGCAGGGATTATCTCGGCAAAGGTCCGTACATTTCCCGTCCAAACAACCCTCACCGGGATTGCAGTCATTATCAACAGAACATCCAAGATCTTCATGAATACACTTGTCTGCCTGTTGGGTGAAGCCAGCGGGGCAGCTGCAGACGGGCTTGTGATTAACGACCTTACATTCCTGTGACGGATGGCACGACCGGTCTTGCTGACAAGGGTCCACGCAGTTCTTGCCATAGCAAGCGTGTGTGGAAGGGCAGGAGTCATCTGAGGTGCACTGAACGCTTGAGCACACTGTGTATGGGTCTCCTTTGTAGCCTGGGAGGCACTGGCACTCTGATCTGTGTAAGGCGGCCTGGCACTTCGCATTTGTGCCACACGGCCTTGAGAGAGTGCAGGTCAAGGTACACCTGTTGTTGAAGCAAACGCTATCCTCGAGGCAGTCGGTGTCTCGGCTGCACTCTAGGCGAGAGCAGGTTGTGTGTCCGTCCCCGGTGTAGCCAGGAGGACAATAGCAGATGGCACGGTGGTTGACTGCCCGGCACTCTGCATTCAGGGCACACGGGTTCTCTTCGCACGGATCCTTGCACTGTGCATTAATGCAGCCTTCGAACAAGGGACACTCAGCATCTAGTTGGCACTTGGGCTGTTCTTCATCTACTTTTTGGCACTTCTCATATGCACTTCCAGTATGACCCGGTGGGCACTCGCAAGCAACTGTTCGCAATTTGGTCATGTCTATAGTGCGGCAGAGAGCGTTTTCGCCACAAGGTCGCAGATATGTACACAGGTCTTTGCATGTTCCATCAATACAACCCTTAGTTCCTACGCAGTCAAAGTCTGTCTTGCACTGTGGCGCCGCGGTTCCTGGGACAGTGCATGAAATATGCGGGTCTCCGAAGAGCCCAGGGCGACAGGCGCACGTGGCAGTGTGTTAGTAACATAGATTTCAAACCCTATTTCAGACTAAATTGTACACTTAAACTTACTTGTCGTGCAGAGGACGTTGGGATCTCCCTGGGAGCCAGCAGCACAGGAGCAGACCCCACGGTGTCCAAGGGCACGGCAGATGGCCCCTGGAGCACAGCGAGTGGTCTGGCAAGGGTCTACACAGCGGCCGTCTTCACAGGTCTCGGCCCATGGACAGTCGTACTCTGTGGTGCAGCCTGGACTTGGGGCTGGCACGGTGACGCATTCTCTGAAGGGGTCTCCAGTCAGGCCCGGCCCGCACTGGCACAAGACACTGGCCAGAGGGCGGCCGTTTTGTACAGTACAGGTTGCCTTTAGCCCGCAGGGATTATCTCGGCAAAGGTCCGTACATTTCCCGTCCAAACAACCCTCACCGGGATTGCAGTCATTATCAACAGAACATCCAAGATCTTCATGAATACACTTGTCTGCCTGTTGGGTGAAGCCAGCGGGGCAGCTGCAGACGGGCTTGTGATTAACGACCTTACATTCCTGTGACGGATGGCACGACCGGTCTTGCTGACAAGGGTCCACGCAGTTCTTGCCATAGCAAGCGTGTGTGGAAGGGCAGGAGTCATCTGAGGTGCACTGAACGCTTGAGCACACTGTGTATGGGTCTCCTTTGTAGCCTGGGAGGCACTGGCACTCTGATCTGTGTAAGGCGGCCTGGCACTTCGCATTTGTGCCACACGGCCTTGAGAGAGTGCAGGTCAAGGTACACCTGTTGTTGAAGCAAACGCTATCCTCGAGGCAGTCGGTGTCTCGGCTGCACTCTAGGCGAGAGCAGGTTGTGTGTCCGTCCCCGGTGTAGCCAGGAGGACAATAGCAGATGGCACGGTGGTTGACTGCCCGGCACTCTGCATTCAGGGCACACGGGTTCTCTTCGCACGGATCCTTGCACTGTGCATTAATGCAGCCTTCGAACAAGGGACACTCAGCATCTAGTTGGCACTTGGGCTGTTCTTCATCTACTTTTTGGCACTTCTCATATGCACTTCCAGTATGACCCGGTGGGCACTCGCAAGCAACTGTTCGCAATTTGGTCATGTCTATAGTGCGGCAGAGAGCGTTTTCGCCACAAGGTCGCAGATATGTACACAGGTCTTTGCATGTTCCATCAATACAACCCTTAGTTCCTACGCAGTCAAAGTCTGTCTTGCACTGTGGCGCCGCGGTTCCTGGGACAGTGCATGAAATATGCGGGTCTCCGAAGAGCCCAGGGCGACAGGCGCACGTGGCAGTGTGGCCAGTGGTAAGGCAGGAGGTGCCAGGGCCACAGGGGGAGTCCAGGACACAGGGGTTCACACAGGATCCCCTATAGCAGGCCTGGTCGCTCGGACATTCGTTAGAGGAGGTACAACCCACTGGTTCACAGG